AGAACAAATGACGAAATAGTAAGAGGCCAATAAGTTATTTCCGGACGAACATTCATGGGCCGAAACCGGTTTGGGCATCCTTACCGCGACTCTCAAACCCTTCTCCAGAATGAGGGCAGCCAACCGTTCATTGACAAAAACCCTGACCCATAAGTCTATATCCTGTGCTCAACAAAACATGGGGAAAGATCAATACTCAGACCACTACTGGGCCAACAAAAGAATAACCAGCCTTGCACAACTGGAAACCCTTGAGGTAAAAAAGCAAGAGGACTGACTCCAATGGCTAAGGATAAGGGGCCTAGTGGGATACGACAAAATGACGAAAGAGACCTTCAGAGCCCTCATCCTCAAACAAACAAAGCCACTTCTTAGGGAATTTTCCCACCGATTCGATCCTCAAACTCCAATTGCACTAGACACAGAAACAATGTGCAAATATGCCACAGAGTACTTCAGGAAGATAGTGTCCACGATGAGGCCCCAGGTCTGAGTGGAAACAGACCTCTCCTCCAACTCAATGTTATGGGACAAATTGCTCGCAGTGATCACCCAAACAGACATACTAGCCCTGAACGGACCTTTCTCAAACCAGAAACTTCACCAAGCGCCCAAGAAAATGGCCTTAGGAAAATGTCCAGGCCTAGATGACCTCCCTATTGAACTCTTCCTCCATGCATGGGAAAGCTTCGCCCCTTTGCTACGCCAAATTTTCAACAACGCCCTAATGACAGGCAAGTTGCCTAAAGGATGGCTAAAGGGGGTCATTTCCCTTTTGTACAAAAAATGAGACAAAAGGGAGGTCAGAAACTATAGGCCCATCTCTGTCCTAAATGTTGCCTATAAGATCCTAGCTAAGGCAATGGCCCTAAGGCTAGCAGAAATACTTCCAGGACTGGTGGGTCAGGGACAAGGGGCTTTCATCAAGGAGAGAACTATATTTGACAAGATTCTCTTGATGATACAAACACTAGAAGTCGTAGCAGCCAAAAGGCTAAACATTGCCCTCCTTCTCCTAGACATGGAGAAGGTAGGTTGGGCCTTCGTATTCACCACACTTTCAAAGATGGGGTTCGGTACGGGATTTTGCACTTTGGTCAAAGCCATGTACACGGAGGCGACATCTACAGTCATAGTTAATGGGAGACTCTCCGCGGAGTTCCCCCTCTCCAGGTCTCTAAGGCAAGGATGTCCCCTTGCGGCGCTACTCTTTGTCCTACAGTTGGAGGTCCTCCTCCACAACATCAGATCCAATGACAACATTTCAGGCCTAAGCATCCCCCACTCTATCCATTGGAAAGGGGGGGCGCTGGCCGACGATTTAACAATTGCAAGCGTCAACACAAGACAGCCAGCCTCAAATTTCTGAATTTGCAATGGAATGAGTTTTCCAAGTTTGTGCTCTACCCCTGTCAGGGTCAGAATGCGAACTTGCATGACACCCTCACTGCCGTAGATAGCAAAGATTAAGTCCAAAAGGGTAGTTCACAAACTTTTGAAATCTCAGAGGGGTATTCCGGTCTACCCTCAGCTTATAGGGGTGTTTTAGCATATACGCCAACTTTCAGGGTTATCTACAGAACATGGGGAAGAGAAGGTAAATTCCGATGGCGTTAGACACTGCCATTACTCCATGGGGAAGATGAGTGAGAAGGTGGACGTAGCTAGCTACTTGCGAAGTGCTCGGTCTTTGCGTTAGCGAGGCCCCCAGGGGGGGCGGCCCAAACCCTGGCAAGTGGCAACATGTAGTGGTAGGCAGGTAGTGAAAGGGGAATGGAGAGAGGAATATAGGGCCTCGCTGCACTACTCTCGAAATGTGCAAAACGAGAGTGAATATTCCGGTAGAATATGGAAAGATACGCGGCGATGATTTTTGTGTTTTGTGCATTTCAAGAGTAGTGCAGCGAGGCTCATAGCTTAGTTTGAAAAAAAAAGAACGCAGCCCGGAGACCCTCTACACAGGAGACGAAAAAACCGCAGACAAATTCTCTGCTTCCCGCACTCGCCTGTCGCACACTGATAGCAAAACGACAACCACACTGCGCATGTGCGACGTGCCCCCGGTGTTCTCTGTCTGCTCCCCGCTTCCTTGCTCCCCTCCCCTCTTCCACCCTCCTTTCGTCCTGTGCTTACCCTCCATGCTTTTCGTTTGGCATGCCTCCTTCGTGGTTTCCTCCTTCGCCCGCTTCTTTCCGGCTTTCTTCCCTATCCTTACCCTGACTTGCCCTCTTCGTCTTTCTTCTTTTTCCTAATTGCCCTCCGTCTCTCCCTCTCTCCCTCTCCCCCTCTCTCCCGCTTTCCCTCTCTCCGCTGCCTGTAGTCCCACTTATGCTTCTTCTTGTTCCCCCTCCTCCCCACCCGAGGATCAGGAAAATAAGATCGACAGAATCGTGAAGGGGAGGAGAAAAGAGAGAGAGCGAAAATGAGTGTGATCGACATTCTTACGAGGGTCGAACTAATCACAAAAAAATATGAGAAGTATGACGTCAGTGCGAAGAGAGCGGAGGGAATGTCCTCAGCGGACCCCTTTATCAGGTTTTACTCGGAATTACAGGCTCGGCTGGAGGAGTTGGAACAGGTGATTGACTTTCTTGCGTACCCATGCTAACTACCACTCCTGCTTCCTCTCTTCTTTCTTATCCCCTTCTTCTTCTTCTTCTTCTTCCTCTTCTTCTTCTTCTTCTTCTTCTTCTTCTTCTTCTTCTGCTTCTTACCCTTCCCCTACCGCTTGTCCACTCTCCCTTGCTCCTACCCCTTGCCCACCTTCCCTTGCTCCGCGCTTACACCCTCCTTTTTTATTTTTATTTTTTATTTTTATTTTTCATTTTTTACACCCTCCTTTGTTAGCCATTTTATTTAGAAATTTGTACCCTCTTGGCGTTCCCTCCGTCCCGTTCTGAGCATTTGTGCTGCGATGCCTTCCCCTTGTCCTCCGCCCATCGCGGTTTTCTCCGCCTGTTCCCCGCTTCCTACTCTCCCCTCTTCTGCACTCTCATTCTTTGCTCACCCTCCATGCGTCTTGTTCGTCATAGCTCCTCCGTGAGTTCACTCCATGCCCGCTTCTTTTCTCCTTTCTTCCCCATCCTCACCCCGACCTGCCCTCTTCTTCTTTCTTCTCTCTCTAATTGTGTGCCTCCGTTTAACCCCCTCCCTCTTTCGGTTGCCTTTTTCGCCCTACTTACTATATGCTTCTTTTTGTCCCCCGTTTCCGCTCTTATTCATCGTAGTTACGTGTGCTCCGTTCTCCTCCTTGTGTTTTCTATTTTCGTCTTTCCCTCTCCATGTCCTCCACTGTGTTCGGGTTATGCCTTGTCACGACCACCTCCCTCGCCTCTCGTCTCTTTTGGCAGGGATTGCAGCCATCAGCTCGCTCCTCTCTTTTTCTCTCTTCTGGCCTCCACATGTCCTTTTCCTGACGAACTTCTCTCTCCCCTTCCGTTTATTTGGTCTCCGTTCCGTTTACGTGCTGGCTTCTCTGTCCTCCGTGCGCATCCGCAAAGACATCGTTATCGTTTCTCCTGGCTCTGCTGCTGGTCTAGCATCCTCTCTTTCGTGCCTGGTTGTCCCCTTTATCGTCTTTTCTCGCCGTTTGACTTACTAGTATGTCTCCCCCGCCGTCTTGCATGTCCCATTTCATGTCCCATCCCCTTTTCAATGAGCGTACCTGCAAGCTGGCATCAACCCCCGCCTCTCCGCCCACTTCCACTGCTTCAGCCCTGCTCCTCTGGCACCCCCCCCCCCCCCCCCCCCCCCCCCCCCCCCCCCCCCCCCCCCCCCCTGCCGCTACCATACCCCCCTCTCGCCACCCCCCCCCTCCCCCCGGCCCCCCCCCGGTCGCGGCGGTAACCCTTGCTTCATCTCTCCTCTCAGCTGTCCGCACTCCCCTCTCTTCCCTCGTCCGGATTGGTGGAGAAGCAATCCGGACAAGGAAGATTTATGAAGAAGTAGGGCAAGGATGCAGGGGAAGGACGTCGGGGAAGAAGGCAGAGAATGAAGAAGACGATGGAGATGGACGTGCTTCGCTCCCTTTCTATGAACGGCACTTTCCTATGATTGTCATTCTCCGCGGGTCTGCTCTCCTTCCATTTCTTACCTTTTCCCTCCCTCTCTTGCAGAGGGGGAAGGACACGTGAACATTGTATTCTCTCTGCGTCGTTTATTTCTTGTGAACCGCTTCGGTCCGCCAGTGCGCGGTTCTCTTTCTCAGGAGAGCTGAATGACGAAGAAAATGCCAACCAAGTACCCTCCGACGAATCTTCGTGTCCTTCCTACCGGTAGTCTTGTCCTTTGTACTCCACTTCTATCGTCCCCGTCTCCTCGCTCCGTGCTGAGCGTTTGTGATGAAGTCCTTATCGTTCTGTTTCTTCTTCTACTTCTGTCCCCCCTATTTCTTCTCTTCTTCTTTCTTTTTCTTCCTCTCTTCTTCTGCCTTTATTTCGATTTCTTACTGTTCTGCTTTTCCTCTTCTTGTCAATTCCATTGTAGTTCCGTTGGGACCACACCCCGGTCCATCGTGATCCCGCGGTCTTCCTTGCTCTCTTGCTCGTCGATGGCCGCCCTCTGGCCGGCAATGGCAGGTCTCTTACCTCTCCTGTACTTGTGTCTAATGCGTGTTCCTCCTCGCGTCCATTCATGGAGGGAGCCAGATAGCACGTACACGTACCTACGGTAGTCTTTCACGTGCTTCTTGGCTATGGCCTCTGTTTATCACTATTACTGTGCGTAATGTCGCATTTTTAAATGGCAGCAGCCGTGCATGTCTCGTGCATGTGTGTGCTTGTTGGCGGACTACGGTTTCCAGTAGAAGTTATAGCTGTGCATTTTGAGAGGGAAGTATAGATGTGCAGTTTGCTGAGAGGGAATCTATCTGTTTACCGTTTCTCGCACGGCTTGCTTGCTATTGGGGGTGGAAAAGAATGATTGATTGGTTAGTTGCTGGATCGATCGATCATCCATTCATGCATTGTTCGGCGATTGATTGGTTTTGATTGACTGGTCTTAATTGACTGGATTTGATTGATTGGATTTGATTGATTGGACTGATTAGATTTGATTGATTAGATTTGATTGATTTGGTTAACTAACGTGGAGCATTGTTGGCCCGTTGTTGTTGTTGTCTGTGGTGCACGTGTTGCTGTGTACTTTTAACTACTGCTACAATAATTGCGCATCTGGTTTGGCCTCCCCGAGCAGAAAGCGAGCGATGTACAGGTGGAAAAGAACCGCGCACTTGTGGCTACACTGAATGCGGAAATCCGGCGCGGGAAAAATGAGATTCTGAACGAGATTCCAAAGTTGGAGAAATTGGGGGGAAAGAAGGTAGGAACTGCCGCGTCATTCGCTGCGCCGGTAGCGCCTCTGTTTCCTGGTCCATTCTTTTCCCGCCTTTTTTCGCTCAGGTGACATGTTTTGTGAAAGCTTCTTCTTGTGGTGCCTCTACTTCTTCTCGGGCCTGGGTTGGAACTCCTTGCTGGAATCCTCAGGGGACTTGCTGAATAGGGTGATGGTGATGGTGGCGATCATGGGATGATGATATTGCTGAAGTCGTCGGTGATGATGACCTGTTAGCATCGATGATGACAGGGATCTGCTACTCTACAGGGCAGGGAAGGTGTTTGAATGTTACTTCACGTGCCTTTCTTCTACATCCTACTCCACACACTCTTCATCTTGGAGCAGAGTCGATCAATTGGCCACAGTAATTGCACTCGCAGGAAAAGGGAAAAAAAGAGAACCAGGTGTAAAAATACTCTGTGTGTGTGNGAGAGAGAGAGAGAGAGAGAGAGAGAGAGAGAGAGAGAGAGAGAGAGAGAGAGAGAGAGAGAGAGAGAGAGAGAGAAGTGCGTGGGGTATGCGATGAGCCCGTCGGTTGTCTGCGTGGCAGTTAGCGAGCTGCGTGGGTTGATTAGACAGAAGGTGAAGAACGATCCCCTGTTTGATACCGAGGGGCTGCTTGTGGATGGATGGAAGGGGAGAAGGGAATGGCCTTTGTTTCTGTAGAATGGAGGTCAGGTGGGGATGGAATCCCGTAGAGAGAACAATAGAGCAGTATGAGGGAAATCTCCACTGGCAGGCGAACTGCTTTTCTTTGGGCTATGTGGACGTACGAGATCCTCGGTCACTGTCATCAGAGTATGCGGTTTTCTGTTGAAGGGGGAAGCGATGATCCGAGCGACGAAGCTTTTCCGGTTGTGTTTTGTTTAACGTCCGATTGGTTGTGCCTGCATAATTGGAATTCTCCATCATACGAGGGGGCCAGCTTTACACCAGATGGTGGGTGTCATGCCAGCAATGATGCTGTTTACTGGCATTAGGTAAGCAGCTAAAGTGAACCTGGGATCTTAGCTAAGATCACGTGGCAAAGTACACCGAGTGGCAAGGCGCCAAAGTAAGCTGCTTGACAGAGCATGTAAGTTCACCGGAATAGCCTATATAGTATTAGATCGGTAGCCAGCAATCAAGGAAGTATCGCGTACGAGAGTCACTTTCCAAACACCTTGCCATGGGAGAACGGGGACTTCGCCCACCAAACGCTCCTCTCCTCTGTCTAACGATATGTTATCATATAGTCACCGTGTCTCTTCATCGTGCTGGGTGAGCGCTTGCGCACGTAACGGTCATCTTTTTTCCCGATGATGTCCGTACGTGAGCACATCGTCGATGCCGCCAAGAGGACTTTACCTCTTCTCTGGTTCTCCCGTCCAACCGTGTGTGTGGCGTGCGTGTATGTGTGGCATGCGTGTGTGCGGCGTGCGTTTCTGTGGTGAGTGTGTGTGTGTGTGGCGGGCGCGCGGGCGTGTGTGTGTGTGTGTGTTTGTGGCTGTTTGTTTGTGTTTGTGTGTGTGTGTGTGTGTGTGTGTGTGTGTG